ATATTTAGTAATATCTTGAAATAAGTTACATGATTAATTTTTACGGTATAGAATTAAATTATTTCGATAAATTTATTTGTTTATAATTTTTCTTATTTAAAAATAAAATAAAATTTCATACCTGTATCTATCATATGCTATAGCTGCATTTGTAATCGCAGCACCGATTCCAGTTAAAGAACCAATAACTGCAAATATTTGACATCCTAAATTTCCCAAAGCAAAACCAGTATTAAAGGAATTGTATATAAAAATAGGTGTCTTGATCATCATAAAGAAGTCGCAAATTGCCAGATTTACAACAAACATATTTGAAGGAGTCCTTAATGATTTAGCACTTGGAAAAATGATAAAAAATTAAATATAATAAGAATTAATTTAATTTATATTTTTATAATAATAAAAATAATATAAAATTTCAATATTTTATAATATATTAACAATAAAAAAAAATATTGCAGTAAAAATAATATTAAAATAATGAATATTTTAATAAAGAAAATAACTTACGCGCAAAAGATCCATATTACTAAACCATTTCCGAGTAAAGCAAGAAAAGTAAAAAGAATATATAAAAGGGCCAATAAATAATGAAGAGAGGGGTTCGGCTCAGGATAGACCAGCCAATGTTCCGGTATATGAACTAATTCTTCAGCGGGAACATTCCATCCCAGCAAACGTGGTGGTCCTGCAGGTAAGTATCTCGCTTCCCAATGAATACTGTCGTTGGACATCTCGATCATTCCGTTTGCCAACCCCTCTTCTTGATACAGTTGGCTGTTTTATACCAATCCTTCTACCACCTTGAATCAACAAAATCTTAATCCACTAGCTTTGTTGGCTTCCTATGAGGATCAGCCGGGGATCATCCTCTAGTTGCTCTAGGTCAGCAAGAACGTGCGTCAACGTCATAAAAGTTAATCACGATAATAATCAGAATTTTTTTCTGAATCATAGAAATAGAAATTTCGATTTAATCAACAATGAATGTTCCTTCGAATTTGATACATTATTTATTTTATATTTCATTTTCTAATTTATTAAAACATTAGCCAAAAAATAAATAAAAATATAGAAACATTTATTTAGATATATTTATTTATAATTAAAGTTTTATAATTAAAAATTATTTTCATTATTCTCTAGATTTATATATTGCTGTATTTAAATATATTTTTATCAGACATATAAAGATTATTATCAAATAATTTTTAAATTAATTTACTTATAGTTTTTATTAATATTAATATTTTCATAAAAACATTTTCTTGTTTCTTTAATTAAATAATCAGAAATATTAAATATATAATTTAAAATTAAAGAAATATTTTTAAAAAATACGTACATAAAATATTCATGAAATATTTTTTAAAAATCAATTCTAAGGATCAAAACAAATATAAAAATTAATATATAAAAATATAAGTTATGATTTATTATTAAATTATAAATAATTGAAATTTGCATTAAAAGAAAAGAGATACAAATAAAATAAAATTCTATCTCTGTTATACTCTGTTTTCATTTAACAGAAAAAAAGAAATATACAAACTTAAATTGCTATTTAACAATCAACATTTTTTTAATATCAATTTTTGTCTTTATTTTATTCTTTCTGTAATAATCAATTTTCCAAAAATATTCCACAAACATATTAACTCTATAATAAAATATTTTTAATAAAAAAAAAACATTTTATATTAAAATAAAAAGTAAAGAAAATAAAATATTCTTTGTATTTTTTTGCAATAGTTTTCAACTTGCATAAAATGTTGCATAATATTATAAAATAATAATTTAGTATATATATATACATATATATATATTTTTTTTTTTTACTTGTTTTTCATAGCTACATTCTGCCTTGTCTCTCTGTGGATTCATCAGTTAAAGTATATGCAGGAAAATATAATGATGAATCATTAGGATCCTGTAATCGTGGATTCGGTATTGTTGTTGATTTTGTTCCTAAACTTGTATATCCTTTATCATATAATGGACAATAAGGTACATTATGTTTCAATAAAAACTTCCATACTTGATCATATGACCAATTTAAAATAGGATTTACACGAATTAAGTTTGGCCAATTTGGATCAGTTGGAGTAAAGGCTTCTAAATTTTCTGAACCAGGATCACCTTTTCTCATTCCCATAAGACTTGCTTTTATGTTTGTCCTTTCATTTAATAATGAACATAATGCTAATCGCATAGGATATTTTTTTTTTATTAATTCTAAATCATAGTATTGAACAGCTTTTTCCACAAACGAATCCACCTTTAATATACATATAAAAATATACATATAAAATTATAATTTAATATACATATAAAATTCTTTAATTAAATGTCTATAAAAATAAAAATTAAATATTTTGTCATATAGGATGAAGCATTTAAAACAGGTTGTTGAATAATCGCTTACAATAAAAAGAAGAAAAATGTCAAATTAAATTTTCTTGATTTTGAAGAACATATATTTAATGACAATAAATTTCTTATAGATGAAATCATTTTGAAACATTCTATTGGAATAAAAAATCATATCATACTATTTAAAAATATATTAAATACCTTTATACGCTTTTTTTATATTTCTATTTACAAAAAAATTGTTAAAATTAAATATTTCTTAAATATATCTTAAAACAAAGTAAGTTTGGTTTAATACTTTTCTCTCTATTATAAAAAGTAAATAAATTATTCAGATAGCTTGTTGTAGATATTTCATCCTGAATATGCAAATTATATGAATAAATTGATATGAATAAAATATGAAAAAATGTCATTTAATAATTTTTAACCTTACTATTTTTAAACTTACTTCTGGAAATGGTTCCGCTATTACATATAAGCATAATAATGAAGAGATATTTTGTAATTTTGTAATACAGGCAGCTAAATGTAAAACTACTGTGCAATCTTTCCCACCATTAAAACTAATAAAAATTTCTTCTGGTTTATACCTTTTAAAAATATATATATTATAAAATAAAATAAAAAAATATATATATAATATATTTTATCATATATTATCATATATATATAAATTTATATATGAAATAAATTGTATGCACCAAAAATATATATAAAAAGTGAATTATGAAAAAATTTTAGATTTATTCCTATTTTAAATGAAGATAATTTCATAACAAAATATTTTGTAACATACTTACATTTTATAACATTGTTGCAAAATATCTACTGCATATTTTATATGTACTTCATTTTCAGCATCTTTAAGAACTCTTTCTGCTTGATAATAACTAAATCCATCTTTTAGATTTCGAATTTTTTGAATTGGTAAAGAATATAAAAATTTTGCTTTTGCTTCCAAAACATCTTCTTTCTTTCCTTCTAATGTAATTCTTGTAAAAGAACACTCAGGTATTATTTGTGGATAACTACCAATATTAATTTTATCTTTCCAAAGCTTAGCATGTTCATCTAAAATTTGTACTATTGATAATTCATTTAAATTAATATCTATTTGTTCAAAATATAAAGGAATATTTCCTTTTAATTGAGGTATAATTGTATCAATAGAAAGCTCAAAATATTTTGGTGAGCCTGGTAATATGTATATATTTTTTACTTTTACTATGGCATATTTTTCTGAAAATTATTTTTTTATAATTAATTTCAGCAATAAAAATTTTTTTTTCTATAAATAATATAATATACTAATAATATTAAAATATTTAACATAAAACTTTAAGAATAATTTTATATTAAATTTTTTTTAATTAAACAAAATTTACTCACTTGGTGAATATACATAAATAAGTTCACAAGGTCTTGGCACAATAGTAAGACGTTGAGCTTCTTTTTTGTGATTAGGAAAAAGATTTAAATAGATATCAACTAATTCTTCATGTTGTTCAAGTTTTAATCCCAAACCTTTAGCTATAGCTTCATATGTTACATCATCATGTGTAGGTCCAATACCACCAGATGTAAATACAATAGAATATTCTTTGGAGAAATCAAGTATAGTTTTTGCAATTTCATCCACCTAATATAAAATGCTACATTATATGTAGTGAGAATTTAGGTTTCAATGAAAAAATACATAAAAGTATATTTATATCTTAAAAATTGTATATTTTAATAAAATTTTGAAAAATATAACATAAAATATTATTTTCTTAATAAAATAAATAAAAAATATAAAAATTTAATAAAATTTAATATTTAT